CCTGGCACCAACATCAAGTCCACCTGGATTGGCTCCAAGTACGCCGTCAACACCATCTCTGGCACTTCCATGGCCTCCCCCCACATCTGCGGTCTCCTTGCCTACTACCTCTCTCTCCAGCCTGCTTCTGACTCTGAGTACGCTGTCGCTGCCATCACCCCCGAGAAGCTCAAGAAGGCTCTGATCTCCGTCGGTACCGTCGGCGCTCTCGCTGACATTCCCCGCGACACCCCCAACGTTCTCGCCTGGAACGGCGGTGGCTGCAACAACTACTCCGCCATCGTTGAGGCTGGCGGCTACACCGTCAAGCAGCAGGTCAAGGAGGTCACCATTGACGACCTCGAGAAGGCCATCGAGGAGGACTTCGAGGTTCTCTCCGGCAAGGTTGTCAAGGGCGCCAAGACTGTCGGTACTAAGGCCGAGAAGTTCGCTAAGAAGATCCACGAGCTCGTGGATGAGGAGCTGAAGGAGTTCCTCAAGGAGACCTCCTTGTAAGCGTCGTAATAGAACGCTAGACTGGTCTAATTTATTTCCTTACGTTTTTCTGGGTCAATGACAGTGTACGCATAGGGTTACATTGCAGGATGGGTCAGGATGGGAATGCATTGCTTCATGGCTACATACAGATCTCACAGCACGAATTAAGTCTCCTTACCTATCAGAACCTTGACGCGCTTTGAACCAGTGATTGAGTTATGAACCTGTGATGACATGTGGCAGGTGTGTAGTCCCTTCGTCCCAACTCTCTTAGTAACCCCAGCCAAGCCAACCAACTGAGCATGATGTTGGCAAACTTTGTTCAACTATGTGAGTAAGCCGCCAGGCAGTTGTCCCCATTCGGCTTGGTGATGGTCAACTTGGACAGCCTATGGGTCATGCCTGCCTCTCTGAGATCGCCGCCAACCCCCTTCGAGAGGGCTGGAATACTCTGCGGAAGACAAATGGCAGCACATGGTTTCTACATGATCGATCCTCCATATCGATAAGTCGGTTTACACTTTGCCGTTTTGCCCGTTGAACAGCGTGCTGGGACTGGAATGCTGTGTGTTCCATCTCGGGAAGGAATGACACAACAGCTGGCGCTTGCCAGCGCCACCTCATGCCTGCTCAAACCAGGGATCAGGCCCCCTCCTGCCATTCTCCTGCCTCTGGCGCTGGTTGAACGGTCCTTCCATTCTCGTCTCTTCTCTCAGAGTTCACTCAGCCCCGTGGAAAGAGCAATCATGGAGTTCCTTCCCAGTCCTACACGGCGTCACCCCCAAGGCATTGCATTGCCTGGCTTACAACAACTCCGCCACTTCGCCTCTTCTTCTCCCGCATTAAACCTCCATGAACCGATATACAACATCCTCGATCTTCCGATGCTCTCGCGGTTCGCTTTTGGTTAGCTACCATCGCACTTAACCATCAGCAGCCTCATCTGAATTCTCTACACTGCTCACCACCTCCATACCTACTGTACTCTTCTCTTACCCTGCCTCTGATTTCTCCTACAGAAGCCGGCCCAGATGCGTCGGAGCAACAGCAATAAATCGACCTTGGGGGTGAGCAGGTCCAAGTCGGCCAGATCGACAACTTCTTTCCGCTCAGCCCTTGAGAGGTTGGAACATATCGACCCAGCCATTGCTGATAGAGACGCCCATCTTGCTGCTACTCTCTCTTGGTGTCAGGCCGCTCCTACCATGGTCCCAACGGCACACCATCCTCCACTGCGATCGGTATTCACAGAGTACTCTGGAGACTCTGGCAGCCAGCAGGGGACGCTGGACGGGACCTGCGATGAGAACGGACTCCGGCGACAGAAGAGCGTCCGGTTTGCCAAGTCAAGCAAGAACGATGCCGCCAATGGCACCGGCATTCCCCGACGCCGAAGTGTTCTGGGTCGTATCGAAAACCAGCAAAATTGCGCAGCGGCCCAGAAGACCGATGAATCGCCGTGCTTCAACCCATTCACAGCCAAATTTGTCGAGTCTCTGCCTCCTGCCGAGTCCTACAGACCGGTAGACGAGTGTGCATCGGTCCCAGGTTCGTACAGGAAGCTCCGCAAGTCTAGATCCATGTTCTCCCCAACAGGTCAGACTCCCACGCCTAAGTACTACTTCAGCAATTCTCCGGAGCAAGGAAATCCCACACCTGCACTCAGGCGGAAGTCGATGCAGAACATCAAGGAGAGCAAGTCACCAAAAAGAAACCGCAGTCTCAGAGCGCCAAAGTCCATGAGCTTCCTGAAGTCCACGGGAACAAGGTCCAATCTTCGGACGAATGCCAGTGAAGGCGAAAGCAGCGGAAACAAATTCGGTGGAGACGGACAAGCACCCCTTCAAAGCCGGACCTCGAGGTTGTTCACTTCAAACAAGGAGGGCATTCGTCAGTCCATGAGAGATCCCTCAGCAGGCAACCTTGCGGTTCCGAAGCGCAACGGCTCCCTTCGCAAGAAAGCTCGAAAAGTCTCCAGTGGGTTCAAAACTAGGCTAAAGTCTTTCTTCGGACTCACCAAGAATGACGGGCAAGAACCAGAGGGAAAGATGGATTCACAAGCAGGGGTCGGAAGCCACGACGAAGGCGACAGAGATATAGACGAGGACGCCTATATGGATATTGACGACCCAGTGCTGGACGAGTGTTCGATCTCCCAGGTTCCATCACGCGTGCCCTCTCTCCATGCCTCATCGTCCGCTCAACAGCTTCGATCTCGTCAAGGCAGTATAGAGAGCATCGAAAGCCTCAGGAAAGTCTCGGATGATCAGTCCGATGAAAGGTCTCGAGTCACAAGTTGGACAAGCTCAGGAACGCACACTCTTAACAGCCAAAGCACTTGGGGCGGGGAAAGAGATCGACAGAGGCTGTCCGTCATCAAGGAAAATGGGCCACATTATTCATCGTCATCGTTTCGTCGACCAACCATAGACGAACGCAGTCCTTACGAGTTCGAGGTCGTGTCTCCTGAGAAACCGAGTGGTCCGCCTGCTCCTCCAGCAGTCGACAGCCAGAGGGTGTATTCTGCGCTAATGAATCGGCTGTATGAGGTCAACCAAAAAGAGAACATGCGAGAGGCTAGCGGCGAGGACTTCCAGATGCAGGAGGCAAAGAAACTACGAAGGTCTCTGGACGACAGCCCGCCAACAATCAGATGTGTACGGCCAGAAGACGACGTTTTCCGGGATGGCCCGCCGACCCAGATTCCTCCTGTCGGCATTGCGGAGACGACGGAAGATGGCTCCTTCTCGGAATCCGGGAGCGTCATCCACTATCCCACAAGGACCGCTCCAACGGGCGCACATTACAGCCCGTATCCTGGACCTGCAGTAGGTGACGAGAAAACGGTTCTGCCTGTCACCGTTAGAGAGGTCTCGGCTGCTCCGAAAACGCTATCTACCCGAAGCTCGGCCTTCTTTGGCAGCCCGACATGCCACTTGTTCCGGACTACAAGTCCTTACCGTCGAGCGTTGCAGAAGTCAATGAAGGAGAGCAGCTCTGAGTCATCTGCGCCTCCCGAGCTGAATCTGGATCTGGTATCTACGAGACGCCATCCAAGTCTCTCTGGCGATGACCCCCGTCTGGCCTATTCGGACAGCATCTATTCTGACCAGCCCATGTCACCGAGGCTGTTGTCGCCCCAGCTTCTCTCGTCGGAACTTCTAACGTCGGCGTTGGTTGCTCCCGGCGCTATTCGTCCTCGTCGTCCGAGTGTCGAGTCGTCTTCCAGGACTAACGGGCTCACGCATTCTAAGAGTTGCTACTCGGACATTACTGAGCGTGCAGCAAACACATCCACTAGGTCTGGCTCCCACGGAAGGTCGCGGTCTCACACGCCATGTGAGCCTTTGACATACGTACCGACAATGCCTACCGACACTGAGGCCAGAACCGCGTCATATGCCAGCTCTGTTGAATGGAAGACCTATCTCTCGGCAAACGCATCCAATAGTGATATTCACGCGCCTGTTAGACAGATGATGGAGGTGAGATACGCCAAGCCCAGCATGCCGAAAGGGCATGTACGCGAGGGGGCTCAGATGTACGCTGAAGATGAGCCCAAGTTGTACAAACCGGCAGGCCCTGTCAAGTTCCATACACCACTTCGTACAATGAGCCACAATCGCCAGGCATCATCAGCCAGCCGTGCTGAGGGTGCAGTTCCACCGAAGGTTTCCGCACTCTACAGCAATGAGAATGCGATTCCTTACTCAGAGGGCCGTGTAAACGGCCATATTCGTGTGTACGGACCACCACCGATTCCACCCCGAAGCTCTCTCCGAGAAATTCCGTCAATGCCACTTCTTCAGTCGCGTTCATCCCAGAGCAACATTCCCGTCAAGTCACCCAACAGAGCGACTTTGAAGGTGCGCAGCTCTGACACAATGCCTGATTTCACGTCGGCCGAGACGAAGCCGAAGACTCGATCGCCTATGAAGCTGGTCCGGCGTGTTGGGCTACGGAAGAGCCTGAAGCCGTCAGTCTCCAGCCCAGGGCTCGGCATGACGGTGGAGAAACAATTCGGCCCAATGCTGGGCAGTGACCAGGTCAATCAGGGTTCACCCAGAGAGAGACGGCAAAGTGGCAGTGGTCGTCGCCTATTGGACTCGAGCGACTTCAACAGCACAGACACCTCAGACACGACTAGTTCTGATGACTGGAGGGCTCAGAAGCTTGGTAGTCAGCAGATGGTTGAGAACTTTCTCAGCGACAGACATCAAGCCATGGTTAGAAGCGAGCATTCGAGAGCATTCTTGTGATTAGTAGCGTCAATGTGGAGGCAAGCAAGCGGCGGTGGGAAGGTTTACAACAGCGTTATGATAATGAAGATGGAGGACCGACGGCAGGGGTTTACGATACCAGGAAGGCAACGTCCTAATACAAGAGTATGCATGCTTATTACTTGAGACATGAGCAAATGGTCTGAGTGCCTGGGAAGAGTGTTATGCTCTATGTCGTGGTAGAAGTTATTTCGAGTCAATGATAATAATACAGATGTGCTACGCTTATGTGGAAAGCTTCCATCACGTCTTGGGTACTGACCCAAACCGATATTGGGCCCATGCAAAGCTGCCCTCCTGCATGGTCCATAGCTGCTTCCCGAGGTCGTCTCCCGCGGCGCCGGCTGCAACGTGAATAGGCATAAGATGGTCCATCCAAGGATGCGCCTGCCTAGCATCCGGTCTCCTACACACCTGCGCCATCCTCTCCTGCCTCTCCTCCACCTTGCTCTCCACAGCCTCTTTCAGGGCGTCGTCGAAGCTGACAGAATACGGCATCGGCTTCGGGCCGCCGCCCATGTCGTACAGGTTGTGAACAGACATGCCCGCGCCGATGATGACGACGCCCTCGTCGCGCAGCTCGGCGACGGCCCTGCCGAGGCGGTAGTGCGCGTCCGGGTCCTCTGAGCCGAAGAGCGAGACTTGCACCAAGGGACAGCCGAGGGGGTTCGTGTCCGGGTGGAAGGCGACGTGGAAGCCGGCCCAGACGCCGTGGTCGAGGCCGCGGTCGGTGGTGGGGGCGCAGGAGATGTTGTGGGCGGCGAGGAGGGCGCAGGTGCGGGAGGCGAGCGGGGGAGAACCGGTGTTGGGGTAGGAAGCGGAGTAGTAGTGCAGTGGGAAGCCGGAGAAGTCGTAGATTAGCGGGGCGGGACCGGGTGCGGCGTTGATGTTTACGGAGGTGCGGGAGCGGGATTGCCAGTGGGCGGAGAAGACGAGGATTGCGGAGGGCGCGAGGGAGGTTATTTCGTGGCCGATGTGTTGGAGGGTTGGGTAGACTGGGTGGGCTTTGTTATACATTACGTCGGGCTGGAGGGTGTTAGTGGGATGGGGGAAGGGGGGGGGGAAGGGGGAGGGGGGAGCTTACGCCGCCGTGGGAGAAGAAGTAGACTGGCATACGGGGCCTTTTTGGCGGTGGTGATGGTGTGGTAGAGTCCATTGGAGATGGGTTTGAGAGGGTTGATGTCACGGCTGTCAGGAACGAGCGCAGGGTTGGGGAGAACATGCATGCGAGCAAGGCGACGAGGAGGGAGAGGAGGAATTTTGGGTTTAGACGGACCATGGTGAGAGGGTTCAATCCAGACTCGGTGCTTTGTGTGTGCTGGATTCAGAAGAGGAGTCTCTCATTGATGTGTTCGTCAACTGGGAGTTATATGAGTGACACGCTGCACATCGGACGTCAGTGAGGACCCCTTACCCGAACCGGATGAGGGACGGAGGGCCAGGCGGAGGGGCCGGCGTGGTGATGGACGGGGTGGTTTTCGTCGCGCGCGGCCGGGTCCACTGTGTGTTTTGGGGTGATTTAGTGGCGGGAATGCGCTGAAGGGATCCGCTCGTGGGCTGACGGTGAGTTTAAATCCGCTGTGCCGGTGGTATTTCGAGGAAGGCCCCCGTCTTCCCCGGATTGCAGACAAGTATGATTCCTTGGCATGGGTTCTGTGTAGCTGAATGGAAAATAGAAAACAGCTTAAAGCATTTGGCAATCGCTATGAGCCTGTGACACTGCATCTTGTATCGCGCATCTGACCCCAGCCCCACAGTGCGTTCCAGACAGATCTGCACGCCGCGCCGGCACACCACAGATCTTCCCAATCAGCGACCCCACCCATCGGAACGGAGCCACCAGAAAAAAAGGAAAAGTGGACACCTCAAGCTCTCCCATCCGGCCCATCAGCTTGGACCTCCAGGTTTGCCCTTGCTCTCAATGCTCTCGTTCCGCGGGCTCATCGCAACAACGCTCGTCGTCATCGCCAACCTCGCACACCTCACCGTCTCCGAACCTCAACAACACCACGACCACGACCAGCACCCCCCGCTCGCCGCCGTCCCGCAAGACTCCCTCTTTGGCGGAACCCCACCAGTAGCAGCTGACATGTCGTCGTCCATCAGCCGCGCGGCCCCGCTCGTGTTCCCGGCCGCCGGGAAGCACACGGCGACCGTCATCTTCGCCCACGGCCTCGGCGACACGGGCAACGGCTGGGCGAGCGCCGTCGAGAACTGGAGGCGAAGGCAGAGGCTCGACGAGGTCAAGTTCGTCCTGCCTCACGCGCCGCAGATCCCCATCACCTGTGTGAGTTGCGCCCCTCTCCATCCCCGTTGTCCGTCTCATTTCCATCTCATCGCATCTCATCTCGTCTCATCACATTCGTCATGCGGCATGAGAAATGAGAGGTACTGGAAGACATTGATGGGAGACATTTGCGGGGGAAATGAAATATGATCAAACCCGCTGACAAGAACCCTCGCCTCAGAACTTCGGCATGCGCATGCCCGGCTGGTTCGACATTGTAAGTCGCGCCTCCATCCTAGACCGCCACCGCATCCCCCCCGGTCCGTCCCCCCTAACCACCGCGGCCATCCTGCAGAAAAAGCTCGACGGCACCGTCGAGTCGCTGCGCGAGAACGAGGACGCGCCGGGCATCCTCGCGTCCAACGAGTACTTCCACAGCCTCGTCCAGGCCGAGGTCGACGCCGGCATCCCGGCGGACCGCATCGTCCTCGGCGGCTTCAGCCAGGGCGGCGCCATGGCCATCTTCTCGGGCCTCACGGGCACGCATAAGGTCGCCGGCATCGTGGGCCTGTCGTGCTGGCTGCTGCTGAGCGAGCGCTTCGCGTCGCTGGTGCCGGCCGACAAGCCCAACCAGGCGACGCCGATCTTCATGGGCCATGGAGATGCGGATCCGCTGGTGAGGCCGGAGCTGGGAGCGCTGAGTATGGAGGCGTTGAAGAAGTTGGGGTATGATGTGTCGAGGACGCTTTACCCGTGAGTACTACTCGTGCCCTGTTTTGGTTTGGTTGATGGGTTATTGCCTTGGGATTTTGTGTATGCTGACGTTGAGATTGATAGGGGTATGGGTCATTCTGCTTGCTTGGAGGAGCTGGATGATGTCGAGGCGTTTCTGTTGAAGCAGTTGCCGCCTACTGAGAAGAAGTAGATGGAAAGAGGTTTGATGAAATACGTTGCTACATCCCAAGACGGGAGACGTCGCCGAATGGCTAGAAAGACACGATAGAGCTACGTTTATCGCTCACGAGTTATCCTAAAGAAAGATTCATATTCAAGATAGCCTCCTTCTTGCACCTCCCGGATACGTTCTAGCCTTGCCCAGTCCCCGAGGCATCGGCAGCAAAGGGTGCTCTTCAGCATATTCGTCGACTCTGTTTGCATCAGATCTTTTCTTCCGTGCATGCATCACTCGCTCCCCTGCAAGCAGTTAGTGAAACTAAAGTATAGACGAGCAATCACTATCCGCCGTCCGAGAATCGGGGATCATACTCAATAGGGAGTACAGATACTCAAGTACCGGCGGTATCCATACCGTGACAGCCACAACCTGCCCGAACCCCCAATCTCCAACATCAAAAGTCCGCGCAGACAGAGCGATTGTCAATAGAGACATATGGGACACAACGCAGCCGACAAGAGCTAACGTTGTCAGCCAAAATAGAATAGAGCCTAGCGAAGAAAGCTTAGGCATCCGGAATTTGATGTATGTTTTTGTTGGCCATCCAGTCCAGCGCGAAGTAGAAGATCGACTTTTGCACATGTGAGACCAGGCTTCGAGAACCAGCACGCCAAGAAGCGCAAAAGTCGAAATACACCACACTAACGGAGACATAATCCTAAGGCGTTTGACTGCATCTTTCAGTTCTTCTTTTCCATGCAATCGTATATTCGGACAAGCCGTCAAAGCAGAAAGACCACCGCAAGACTCGATGGCCGAGAGCTGGTATATATATGTAGCAAAGGTGCTGTAATCCAGGTCATATGGGACAAGGAGCCTCAGTCTGCCGTAAAGAATGCCAGAAGCGACGGTGGAGAGGCCGTAAACAGCAACGGTGAGAAGGGTTATTCCAGATGTGTGTAAACGCTCGCGAGCAAGCATTACATAGGCGAAGGCGACCGGGACAATACCATTCATGCTGAGAGGTAGGAAGAGAAATACCATGGCGACGTTGGCATCGACGATATTGGAGGCGGGGATGGCAATTACTAGCGCGCCGGCAAAATAGCACTGAGCCTTGTGGATCTCAAGAAGAAAACAAACCCAGCCGGCCGTGGATGGCTCTCTGTCTTTATCAGCGGCCACTGGCATTGGTTTGGCCACAGGTTTCCCCCGGCTTTGGACAGCTCTCATAGCTAGGCCTAGCCAAAGGATAGTGACGAGAATCAGCTGGAGTAGGTACGATGAGAAGACCTGTTAGTGAATATTGTGTGAGCAATACGTCAATCTGCTTGATGAAATGGTTTCCAATTACCCCAATACCTATGATATCGGAATCCGCGTAGGGCCTTGAGTCGAAGCCGCTATTACATAGTGTGAAGAGGCATTGGTTGATAGCCGTCTGGTTGGGCAGCGTGCTGCTGATCAAAAGTCGTGTGGGCGAACAGAACTGATCGTAGCAAAACGTCTTGTTTCTTGCAGCCTGGCAGGTTTGCGCGAGACATTCTGTCAAGGCACCCGTAACATCCCTTAGGGTTTCATCAGTTGCATCTCCAGGCGGGATAAACTGTGCAGTGAGGTCTGAGAGATGGAAGCCGTTCAATTCGTTTCCTGCGATGGCAGGGACCGCCGCGCAAGCCATGTACCTTTGAACGCTGTAGAAGTTGACGAAGTCTTTGGAGTCGGATTCGATTTCAGCAAAAAGCCTCGTGAGGTTCTTACAATCCGACAGGCAGTTCCCGCTCGGGCACGCCTTGACAAATATCAGTCGGCTGATATTAGAGCCAATGAAGGGCGGGCAAGCGTAGTGTGTCTGATCGTCTGGGTAGCAGCAAGGCTGCTTGTCTAAATAGAGGCCAGGGTTGTAGCACCCGATGGGCATGACATGCGAAGCCATGCTGCTGCCGTTGGAAGAGAAGGTGTGAAAGACTACTGAAGGGAACTTAGAAGTTAATCATGTGTGTTACTCTCCATTCAATACTACAGCTGGCTTCAGGGACAGATAGGAAAGCAAAAGATGAGCGTGTGTGCCTATTTATAATGTATTGGTGGTCTGCGCTGTGTTAAAAGGCTGTCGCCCTGATACGCACTTCAAAAGGCGTCAACATAATTGTTGAAGGCTCGCCAGATGACGAGTAACCAATCCTGTGGTAGGAGTCTGCATGCATGTAAAAATGCCGTGGGAAAACTCGCTATGACCGAGGGGTCATTGGTTCGCAATGCCTGCCAAGAGCTGAATGGCCTATCACTTGACCACCTAGTCCAAGAAGCACCGTAAGCAGCCACGGTGTATCTTGACGCCGACTTGCATTTGGATAACGTCTAGTTGACTCTAGGAGCTGTGATTTCCAGCTCAGCCTGCTTGATGCCACCCACCATTACGTTGTACAGTGGTAGTAGCATAGCAAGCGAAGTAATAAAGTGGCTTTCAACTCAAAACTCGTTGGCGGGTAGCAGGGTATGTCAGTGAGAAAGAAGTCTAAAATATTTGAAGCCTCGTATGTTTGCTTGTCAATATTTTGCATTCTATGTTTACAATCCTGCTATCAAGTAAAAGTAGTATATGCAATTCATCACCCCACTTAAGCTTCAAGTGCAGTTTTCTTTCTATGACGACGAAACGAGTGGATTGACGACTATCAGACACTCAGCCAAACCGCTGATTTCGAATTAATCGATTTGTACTGTTCACCGAGGACTTACAAGTCTTTGGCTACTGTTTTCAAGTTGAGTATTTGAGTTGTGAAACTTATAGCCATCTGGTGTCAACCGCAGTCATAAGAGTCTGGTGTCCGGTTCAAGACAAGACAATCCCATGCTAGAACATTTCGGGTTTAAAGACATGGCGCTGTTTTGATGTGAAGTGTCAACAACAGAACGTACTTCCGCAGCCAAGCTTTCGTAAACTTTGTCTCAGAATTTTCATGTTGTTGGCCTCAGGGCAAGGAATAACGAAGGGCTTCATTTTGCTCACCAACTTGGCGTAAGAACGTCGTCGAGTCAGCATCGGAAACTCGGCTGGTGCAAAAATAAAGTGAGGCGTATTCTGCGGGTTCCGGACTTCCTTTTAGACCCACCACACTCATCTTGGCGGCTGCATGTGTTGTTCGTCCAGCCGGGCTCGGGTTCACCTCCGTGGTTGAGACCAACTTACGGCCCCATATAGCCGAAAATACAACTTAGTAATGTCCCGATTCAAGCTAACAACTGCCTTCAGTCTCTCAAAACCACACATCCTCAGTTTGTCTCAGAGATCCAATCACAAAAACAACTCAGTCATCTTCTCCAACAACTCCCTGACAACCACCAGCCTACCTAAGTCCATGTCCTGCAAGACACACCGTTCAAACGGCCCATGACGCTAACGAAAGCCCAAAGTGGTTCCAGCCAGGGGTCTTATCGCAGCTGCAGCGTCCGCGAGGTGGCGCCGCAGCACGCAAGCACAGGGCCTATCCGGGTAACGGCCGGACACCACCTTGCTGCGTCCCAGCGGCCCAGTGGGCAGGGTGCGGCGGTCAGCAGTTGCCCCCTCGAATCACAAGGGCCTCCAACACTTGTGAAGTACCTTTGGGCTGCTGTGCGTGTGTGCTGTTACCTGCACCATGGTGGTGACCACCTATGGCGCGGCCCACATGCGCCAACCGCAATCGCCTTTCCAAGGAAGCTTTGCAGCATCTTGCAGAACCATCTTCAGCAATTTCATCTTTTTTTTTTTTTTTTAGAGCACCTAAAATATTCCTTATTCTTCTTTCCCCTTCCCTCCCTCCTCCTCCTCCTCCTAGAGACCTCAACCTTTGACAGGTTCCCGTTCCTTCGTCCTCCCTGTCCTACATCACGACCTGACGATGAGACTGCCCGGCTCAGCGCGATAAGCTAGCCAAACAAACGAAACAAAACCCCGAGCTCCCGCCGCAGCAACGCAGCCCGCGAACCCCCGCAGCGTTGGTTGCCACAATAAACAGCATCCCGAAATAGCCTCAACACAGCTCCATTCCACATCCTCCCCCTCCGCCCTTCCGGAGGGATCAGCAAGAACCTTCTCCAAACGAAAACCGAAACCTCACACAAATGGCAACCTCACCACCTACACCCGCCGCCGCCAACGGCTCCTCCGACACCCGCCCCGCGACCCCGACGCCCTCCCAGCTGCCCCCGATCCCGGGCTCCCCCGTCTACTCCCTCGCCTCCACCGCGAACCCCCTCTCCTCCTTCAACCTCCCGCTCCCGCCGCCCCCGCGCCCCGTCCACGCCATCCTCACAAAGGCCGACCTCGAGCAGTCCCAGACCGCCTACACCGACCTCCTCCAGACCGCAAAGGCCTACCGCCAGGCCCTCGCCACCCTCTCCACCGCCGCCTCCGCCTTCGGCTCCGCCCTCGAGTCCTGCGCGCGCCTCAAGGAGGCCCGCGCCGAGTCCCTCTCCGCGAGCACCCACCCCAACGGCGGCGCCGCCCTCCTCTCCTCCAGCTTCCCCGGCGCCGGCCCCAGCACCGCCTGCACCGCCGACCTCCTCCTCTCCGCCTCGGGCGTCCACCACCTCGTCGCGAACCACCAGCAGATCCTCTCCGAGACCGTCTACCGCGACTTCGAGGTGCCCCTCCTCCACGAGCTCGACAAGTGGCGCCAGCGCGTCGACGACGAGGAGGAGGTCTACGTGCGCGAGGTCCAGGCGCGCTCGCGCGAGATCCAGAAGCTCGAGAAGGACGGGCTGAAGCTGCACAAGCAGCGCCGCCGCGACGTCGGCAAGTTCCGCGCCCACCTCGTCGAGCTGACCACCAAGCTCGACGGCCTGACCGCGCTGCACGGCGACCACGCGCGCACGCTGCTCCGCGAGAGCCAGGACACCAGCGGCCGCATCCTCGATGCCTCGTGCAGCCTCGTCCGCGCGGAAGTCGACATATTCGAGAGCCTCGCCCGGAAGGGGTGGAGCGGCGGCGGGCTGGATGAGTTACTCGAGAAGGGCGCCGATCTGTTCGCGAGCGACGAGGCGGC